GGTTGATGTCTGTAAATATTCTTTACATGTTCATGTATGTACAATATTGTATATCTTGTGGGTGAGACCCTGAATGATACCAGAGGCTTAGTTTTTAAACCTGTTTTATCAAAAGGTTGTGAAAGTCCCCTTCACTTTCTTGTAAACTAATTTTATCAAAATGTGGGGCTTGTTTGGAATTTCTTTGAAGTTTCACTTGTGAAATTGATTATTATATTTCCAAATGCTTAATTACTTTCTTAATTATGTTTAACTTCTAAACGAGCCTCCACGTCACTAACCTCTGTTTTAGGCGTGACAGAAATCATTTGTGCAATGACCTTAAGCTTGGTGTGGTTTATGTCGCCATATTTGTAGCTTATATCTTGTGGTATACCAGGTAACAATTTCGATGAACGTATATGTTGGAAGTTTGTCTTGTAAATGATTTAAAGCTATGAAATTTATAACAATATTAGAAGAGTTAATGTTATCCTTTCAAATGCATTATTTGGTAATTAGAAAAAAAAAAAAAAAAAAAAAAAAAAAAAAAAAAAAAAAAAAAGCCTCGTTAAAAAGAAAAATAGAAGTTGGAGATTTTGTGTAGACTATCGGGCTCTTAACAAGGCTACGGTACCCAATAAATTTCCTATTCCGGTGATCGAAGAACTCTTGGACGAATTGTGTGGTGCCACAATCTTTACTAAATTGGACTTGAAATCTGTTTACCATCAAATCCGAATGTGTGATGAGGATGTGAGACTGCTTTTCGCACTCCCAAAGGCCATTATGAGTTCCTAGTCATGCCATTCGGGTTGACAAATGCCCCGGCAACCTTCCAATCCTTGATGAATGAGGTATTAAAACCGTTCTTAAGAAACTTTGTGTTGGTCTTTTTTGACAATATTCTGATTTACAGTGATTCTTGGGAAGCCCATTTGATACACTTGGACAAGGTTCTCTCGGTTTTGGAGGCAAACCACTTGTATGTAAATTAGAAGAAAAGCATTTTTGCTCAAGAGTGTTTAGAATATTCGGGGCATATTGTCTCTAAAGATGGTGTTTTGGCTTATCCAAGTAAGATTCAAGCTATGTTGGATTGGCCAACTCCTCGGACTATTAAGGAGTTGCGGGGGTTTTTAGGTCTTACTGGGTATTACCGTCCTTTCGTCGCTGGGTATGGCCGCATTTCATGGCCTTTAACACAGCAACTTAAGAAGGACTGCTTTCATTGGAATGCCGAAGCGGATGCTGCTTTTCAACAGTTAAAGCGTGCCATGACGGAGGTGCCCGTCCTTGCTTTACCCAGCCTTTTGTAGTGGAGTCCGGCGCGTCGGGATTTAGTATTGGCGCTGTGCTGATGCAACAACGGCCAATTGCTTATTTTAGTTAAGCTCTCTCCGCACGTGCTTGAGCGAAGTCTGTTTATGAATAGGAGTTAATGGCCTTGGCTATACAAAAATGGTGACATTATCTGCTTGGGAGGCGTTTCGTTGTGTGAATTGATTAGAAAAGTTTGAAGTTCTTACTTGAACAACGATTAGTAAGTGAAGAACATCAAAAGTGGTTATGTAAGTTGTTGGGTTATGATTTTGAGATTCAACACAAGCCGGGTGTTGAGAACAAGGCTGCGGATGCTCTTTCTCGGCAGCAAATGGGGCTTGAATTATGGTAATGTCGTTCCTTGATATTGCTGATTTGCATCAACAAGTGTTGGCGGATCCTAAGTTAGCCAAGATTCGGGCTGCATTACTTCAAGGGGCTGCCTCTTTGAAAGGGTATATGCTGCAACGGGATCAATTGCTTTTTAAGGGGCGTTTGGTAATCCTAAGCATTCTCCTCTTATTTCCTCATTGTTGCACGAATTCCATGGTAGTAAGATTGGTGGACATTCAACGGTTCTTAAAACTTATAAGCGGTTGGCTATGGAATTTTATTGGAAGGGCATGCGTAGAGATGTTGATTCTTTTGTGGCTGCCTGCATTGTTTGTCAGCAAAATAAGTCTTCCACTTTGTCTCCCGGGGGATTGTTGCAACCTCTTACTATTCCCCATTGCATTTGGGAGGATATCTCAATGGATTTTATTGAGGGACTGCCTAAATCGGAGGGGTACAATTCTATTTTGGTGGTGGTTGACCGACTAAGTATGCACATTTTCTTAGTCTCAAGCATCCTTTCTCTGCTAAATCAGTGTTGCTCTCTTTGTTAAGGAGATTGTTCGCCTTCATGGGGTTCCGAGGAGTATTATCACTGATCGAGATAAAATTTTCTTAAGCCACTTTTGGAGTAAACTTTTCAAATTGCAGGGGACTTATGTGTCAGAGTACAGCGTATCATCCACAATCGGATGGTCAAACCGAGGTTGTCAATCGGTGTTTAGAGGCTTACTTGCGCTGTTTTGTTTCGGAGAAGCCTCGGCAGTGGTTTTCTCACCTTCCATGGGTTGAGTTTTGGTATAATACTAGTTTTCATGTTTCCGCTGCTATGACGCCTTTTAAGCCTCTCTATGGCCGAGATCCTCCCCAGTTGGTTCCTTATGTGGCTCGTTCAACAGCGACTTCTGAGTTAGATTAGCAGTTGTGCGATCGTGATGCCCTCTTAGCTGCATTGAAAGACCATTTGGTTCGTGCTCAACAGTCTATGAAGGAGATCGCAAATAAGAAGCGCAGAGACTTGTCCATTAATGTGGGCAACATGATCTTTTTGAAGTTGCAGCCATATTGTCGTCGCTCATTGGCGCGAGCTGTCAATGAGAAACTTTCCCCTCGGTATTATGGTTCTTTTCAGGTGCTTTCCCGTGTGGGACTGGTGGCTTATCGTTTGCAATTACCGGTTGATGCTAAAATTCACCCTGTTTTTCATGTTTCTCAGTTGAAAAAAGCTATTGGCACTTCGGTGACTTCTCAATCTCTTCCCCGGATCCTTTCCGGGGACTTGACCTTGCAGGTGGAGCCAAAGCAGGTCTTGGATACTCGTTATTCTCCTGTCACGAGACAATTGGAGTTTCTTCTTAGGTGGCGCCATTTACCGGATTTCGAGTCTTCTTGCGAGCTATTTGACGTCATTCAATAGCAATTTCCAGAATTCCACCTTGAGGACAAGGTGACTCTTTTGACGGGGGGTTCCAATTGATAAGCCTTTACTTAGGCAAGTGTTCATTAAGAGGAATAAAAGGGGGCAAAGGGGGGTTGAGTGAGGTGGCAATTGTTTCTTAGTGAAAGAAGGGGGGTTTTGGTTATGAGAAGGTTTGTTAGGAGGAAAGTTGTTAGTTACTAGTTAGTTAGAGGGTGGGAGATAAATAAAAAGGGGAGGGGGATTTGAGGGAAATTAGGAAGACGCTAGAATCAGTAGTGGAGATTGTTCCAAGCGGGGGAGGTTGCAGACTGATAGGAACCTGGAAATGAATCACGAAAACAACACAGAATACAAGATATCTAACACTGAGTATCCAGGAAAAAGGGTCCCGGTTCCTTTTATTATTGAATTACTTCTATTCCGGCATTACACGGTGACTTCGTTGGAAACCTTAGTGAATTAGTCTAGAGAGAATACAAAGAAGACTGAGGGATTTCAAGGACCCTCTACCTCCCAATGTCCGTCCAAAACTTCTTAACAAATTCCACACCGCCTCCTATTCCTCTCCTCTCCCTTATATCCTCACTGACCGACTAATCTAACAGATTCCTCTAACTAACTTTGCCACCTCAGCACTGCCCTCCACTGCCTCGGTCTCTACGCTCACATTCCCTCTTTTACCCTTTCTAGAATAGGTGAATTTAATAGGAGGCCTAAGCAGGGACCTATCACAGACCCTCGAAGTTCTGCCTATTACTTGTATTTCCAACCAATTAGCAATAAAGATTTACTCCATTACTTTCTTAACCATTTCCTTAAGTTTTTCTGAGCTCAAATTAGCCTAGATCTATCAGTTTGAGTCCCAACCATTAGGATGTAACGCCATACTTACTTCTAATGACCTTAGGCCACCAAGTGTGTTGCTACGACGGGAATCTCCACAACCATTCACACAAAAGTGATAAATTTCTCATACTGAAGTTTCCAATCTCTAAAATTGTAAAACACCACTTTCCTTGGATTGTTACACCTCTCTCCCATGCAAATATAGCTTTTGTTAGCTGCTTGGGAAAGGGAATCCCTTCGCTTACCAACTGAAACTTTTGCTTTCATTCTTTTTTTGAAACAAGAAACTATGCATAAATATCTAAAATTATGTGCAAAATTTATGAGGAAGAGTTATCCTCCGGTCAATGACATGAGCTAAGCTACAAAAGGGGGCCCATCTCCTAACCCATCTATTACAATTATTTTCCTTCTGGTTTTGTTATCCTGTTGTGAAACCTAAAAAAATGGAATTGAATACTTTTTTTTTTAAAATGTCATCATTCCTCATTTCAATTTTGGTCATTAGATATCCCAAGTAAAGATCGCAAGAGAAGAATGCTTTGTGCAGAGAAGACCAAGATGAATTTAAGATGCTTTAAAGAGCAACTATATTTTCACGCATGTTTCGAATTTTTTTTATATTAGGTTGCATAAGTTGCTTTGGCCACTGTCTCTTCTCTTGCCTAACTAAGTCTGGCTTGTAAATAGAATTCAATCCATAATATCGCTACTTGAACAAATGTTTTGGTAATAGTGTCCACATCAAATACCAACATTTCTTAGATATGGCAACGGTTTCAAGACATGTCCCAAGGGTCTAAATAAAAATTTCAAATGCACGTGTATTTGTATACTTCATGGATATCTGCAGATGAAAACTAGATGCAACCTAATGGTAATATTGACTTTAGAATATAGAAGGCCAAAACAAAGGCATAACTTGTAACTATCACGAATATTCATATTAGCTAAAACTTGCATAACGATAATTTTAGTTTAACAATCATTTTAGTTGGGATTCAACCAAGCAATATTATGGAGGAAATTTGATATAATTTTTTTTTCCCTTCTCTGGGTAAGAGAAAGCTTAATATTCATAACAAAATACTGTTTTCTCTTACAGTTTCCTAGATTGTATTTGTGGTATCGACAAATACTCAAGGCATTGACACAGATTATTCACATGTTGCCTTTTCAAATCCATTTGCAATATTTGTAAATTTACTCTCAAATCAGCAAAATGAGAATTAAAAGGACAATCACCAATTGATATGGAAAAGATACCTGCAAGGTTTTCTGCTGTAAATCTTAGACAAACAGCTTTTAAATCAGAGGCATTATATCGTTCAGCCAAAGCTAGAATCTCAGCAACAGATTTCACGGATATATCCTTGCACAGATGAGACTCGCACATTACTCTGAGCCTTTCCAGACCATACCTATCAGCCGCTGCTAATAATTTTGCAGTCAATGAGTCTGATACCAATGATACAGGCGACGAACTTGACGTTTCCAACTCTACATCCTCTATGAGGGAATCTCTGTATATGAAATGCAGCATGGCCTATTGAAATAGGAGAAAGTAGGAGTTTCAATTAAAAAACCAAGAATGGCACCATGACAGTAACAAACTTGAAGCCATCACTGGAGCAGAAACATAAGGCGCGTTTGGAACTCGTTTTAAAATGATTTTGTTTTTTGTATGAAAATGAAAATGAAAACGTTTTCAATCTCAGACATAAATCATTTTTAAAAATGTGTTTGGTAATTTTATCAAGAGATTATTTTCAGTATAAAAAAACTCATTAATGTCTCTCTCTCTTTCTCTCTGCTCGAGAGAGGAGAAAACGAAAACAAAAAATGAAAAACGACTAAAAGTCATTTTTCATTTCACTCTCATTTTACACTAAACCAAAAAATCGTTTTCATTTCCCTTTTTTGTCTTTATTGCGCCAAACGCCGTTTTGGAAACGTTTTCATTTTTCCTCGAAAAACATGAAAAACAAAAATGGGATCAATTCCAAACACGGCCATAAATTCACATCCTAAAATTTCCAATACAAATATGAAATAATTTGTGCAGTCAATACCTTGAAAACTTTAGGCTCTACATCTGTGACTTCAACCTCCTCCTTAGTTTCCTCTAACCCCTCAAAGAATTTAGACCGGAATATAGGGGACCGCGCAGCCAATACCAACTTATGAGCATGAAACTTTTCACCAGCCACGTCAAAGGTAATATCTGAACCTTCCATATTTTCAAGCAGCATGCCAAACTGTGCTCCCATATCAGATTCTGGGACCTGAATAGTGTGTAATCGAGGACAATCTACTGCTGAGACTACAACTCCAACAGTACAATTAATTTTCAAGCAATCATCCTTGAGAAAATCTGAAGTTTCAAGCAAAGCTCGTCTGAAGAAACGCTTGTATCCCCTATTGTAAAAAGAAAATAAACAAAATTAACATCCTACAAACAAACATCTATACACAAACATTCAGCGCATAATCATCAGTCATCACATGCTCCATAAGTATCTACAGATTGCAACATTTGCAATCAACAAGAAATCTTCCACTCTGATTTGGATAACCAAGGCCACTTAAATAATAACCAAAGTACGAAACAGAAAAAATTAGTTAATTTCCTTCCACAAATAATGCAAAGACTACTAAAATCATGGTTTGGAAGATACACTAGATTGCAGTAAACAGAAAATCAACAAATATCAACATTGATACTTGGCTTTTTACCCACTTCTTTTTTTAATCCTTCTGCTAGTAAATCATATATTGAAGAGTAGATTATCAAACGCAATAAACGAAACAAGGTAACAAACTTTCCAACAAAATATTATAGTGCACTCCCAATCATTTCTTCCTCATATTATCTAATCTAAACAGCACGACGGTAAAAAACATATAACTTCGACCAATTAAAAGCCCCAAAAAGCTTGAACAAAATGCTAATTTCAAACATAACAATTCAAACGCAAAAGAATCAAAATCAGCTCAAACAAACAAACAATCATCGCTTACCACATGCTTCCGCGATACTTGAGCGTGTAGGGCCCACTCTCGAGCGCCCGATCGAAGTGGCTATGAACCTTGTGCTTCTCCTTACCGCTCTGATCGACAAGCGTGAGCTCGAAGAGCGCTCTGACGTCGGTGCCCTCGCTGGCGAGCGCGATGAAGACCGAAACGTAAGCGGAATTGTCCTCCGGGTTCTTCCCGTCGGGGTAGAAGTAAATCGCCCACTGGTAACCTCCGACGGTGAAAATGTCGCTCGCAATGTGCTTCCCCACTCCCATGCCCTTCGCCAGAGAGTATCCCTGGATCACGAACTTGTGCGAGCCGTTCACCGTCTCCGTCACCGATCGCGAGCTCGTCGGCGAGAGCAATGGAGTCTTGTCCGCCGCCATGGATGATATAGGCAGGTCAATCTACAAGCATCAGGATCGAAATTACAAAATTGCGAGAAATTGAAGCGAATTTTGGAAGAACATCAATCTCGGATGGTTGAGATTTCGGGAATTTTGGAGGATTCAGTCGGAATTCAATGGCTTCGATCCGCTCCGGCGACGTTAGGGTTTCTTCTCGTTTTCTCGCGTCGGGTTATTGCTTCGCTTTTTAGCTAATTCTCTTCTTTTCTTTCTTTTTTTTTTCCTTTCGTTTCTTTTCCTTCTTCTTCTTCTTTTTCTTTATTTATTATTTTTTCCCCTTTTCCTTTCCCGTTTCCGGGAAAGCGCACGAAACAAGAAGTGATAGAAATGGGAAAAGCACCTGGGCGTTTAGACTTTCCAGAGAGTTCTAATATTTGTATATAGTTCTAAGGTTGTTCACATTAACAAGTGGTGAAAATAAAAATAAATTAAAGAAAAGGACAAGAAGAAATGGTTTTGTCATATAGTACAAAATAAAAATTAGTTAACCCCCTTTGAATTCAGCGTTACCGGCCCGTTCGGTTCGCTAATTATGAGTTTTTAATTCGAGTTAAGATGTGATGTTGTGTGTAAGTTTTTTAATGTAGTAAAAAAATTAGATGTGATTGTTTCTGAGAGCTTTTTATTATAGCAAAACTCAAATTCTAAACTCAAATCAACGAAAAGAACGGGACCGTAATAAATCTTCGGGGAAAATTTAAAAAAAAAGGGAAGTTACGTTATTAAGGTCCTGTTTAAAGTTGGTTTTATTTTTATTTTTTACATTTTTTGAGAAAAAAAATGAAAATGGAAAAAAAAACAACCTTTGGCACAATTAAAGATAAAAAACAGAAATGAAAACGTTTTTTTGATTTAGTGTAAAATGAGAGAGATATGAAAAATAATTTTTAGTCGTTTTTTATTTTTTGTTTATGTTTTCTCATCTTTGGAGCACAAAGAGAGAGACATTAATGGCAACAAGACGTGTTTTTAAAAAATAATTTATATATGAAGATTAAAAACATTTTCATTTCTATTTTCATACAAAAAAATAAAATTAGTTAATTATGAATTTTTAATTCGAGTTAAGATGTGATGTTGTGTGTAAATTTTTTAATGTAGTAAAAAAATTAAATGTGATTGTTTCTGAGAGCTTTTTATTATAGCAAAACTCAAATTCTAAACTCAAATCAACGAAAAGAACGGGACCGTAATAAATCTTCGGGGAAAATTTAAAAAAAAAGGGAAGTTACGTTATTAAGGTCCTGTTTAAAGTTGGTTTTATTTTTATTTTTTACATTTTTTGAGAAAAAAAATGAAAATGGAAAAAAAAACAACCTTTGGCACAATTAAAGATAAAAAACAGAAATGAAAACGTTTTTTTGATTTAGTGTAAAATGAGAGAGATATGAAAAATAATTTTTAGTCGTTTTTTATTTTTTGTTTATGTTTTCTCATCTCTGGAGCACAAAGAGAGAGACATTAATGGCAACAAGACGTGTTTTTAAAAAATGATTTATATCTGAAGATTAAAAACATTTTCATTTCTATTTTCATACAAAAAAATAAAATTATCTTAGAATGAATTTCAAACACACTCTAAGAGAGAAATAAAAATTTAAGATGGCAACAAGACAGAGGACATCCCTTTGATTCTCGACGTATTAGAATTAGAAATATGATTTATACTAAGCACAATTCAAAAAATAAACAATTTGTATTTTTTTGTTTTTTGTAAATATGTGTATCAAGACGGAGAGTGTTCTCACTTATTTTTCGATCCCGAATCGGGGACAAGAAATTCTCCTAAACTCTGTTAGCAATTTTTGTAGCAGACCTATTAGGCATGGGTTCTTGTTGGCCCCTTCCCTGCAGGAAAAATGTCATCCTAAATTAAAAATGCACTGTTCATAATATGAGGCGTATCAAATTTGAAGAGTTTTTTTTTTTTTTTTTTTTTTTTTGGTTTTAGCTAATAATAATATTTTTTGGGTAAATTTTAACTTTTTAGTCCAGCCTTCTTCCGTAGAAATTGTTAGAAATAGATAGAACATTTGTCAATTTGTCATGATGTAACTATGCGAGGAATTTAGTCCTTGGGGGCTAAGCAAGGCACGATTGAATATTTAGGAGGGCGAGTACAAAGGACTATGGTTATATCATACAGATTCATGGTCCTAACAAAGGGGGAGAATTGACATGGCTTGGTCAAATTTAAGGGTCGAAGTTGAACTCTTTCAAATTGTAGTGGCAAAATGAGATTCAAGTGAAAGTTCAAGCGGGTAAAATTAGAGTTCTTTCTGCTAAATGGGTTAATATATATATATATATATATATGTATATTTTTTATAAAGAATGGTAAAATAGAATTAAGAATTTATTTCTTTTGCTACTTAAAAAAGAGATCTGATGATGCACATCATGTCCCTTAATCCTTTCGGCTATAGAAATAATCTTGAGAATCACAGTGAATATGTAGAAAAAATGGTCTGAACTAGTCTCTCATTGACCATCCAACTAGTTTTCACTCTCTTCCATCCTATGAAGCTCGTGGAGGTCCACTTAATTTCCCACAATGGGCAGAATAACAATGCGCGAATGCAAAATATCAAATCTTGAGAGGATAGATAAAAGAAACCAACAAATGCATTCTTATCACTGCGCCACGACTCTGAGGGGTTGGTAAAATAGAATTACTCAAACCACTTCACTTGTTTATTTGGCAGTGAATCTTGCCCGGAAAAGAATGGTAAAAAAGATGAAGTAAAAAGATTTTGGTCTCTAATCTATATAATAAAAAGCGTTTGCTTTTTTTCGTTTTCAAGTTCTTCCTTTTATTTTTCTTTTACTTCTTACCCTAAATTTATTTATTTTTTCATTTTAATCCTTTTTTACCATTTTTTATATTTTTATCCTGAAATTTTATTTTCTTCCCGTTTTAGTTTCTTTTACTCCAACACTTATTTATTCATTCATATTAATCCTTTTTTGCCCTTTTTTGGCTTAAATTTTACTCTTTTTACTTTGGCATTTCGGTATCTTTTATTTTAAAACTTATTTATTTCTTTATATTGGTCATTTTTTTATTCTTTTAATTTTTACATTGAAACTTTATTTTTTTCACATTCGTTCCTCTTATCTAAAACTTATTTATTTATTCATTTTGGTCTTTTTTTTACATGCCTTCTTTTAATTTTGTCCTATAACTTTATTTTTTCTGTTTTGATTCCTTTTGTCCGAAAGCTTATTTATTTCTTCATTTTAGTCCTTTTTAGACCTTTTTTTTTCACTTCTACTTTACTTTTTTTTTTTTAGTTCCTTTTGCTTAAAATTTATTTATTTCTTCATTTTAATCCTTTTTTTTCCTTTTTCTTTAATTTTTGTCTTGAAATTTTGTTTCTTTTTGTTCTCAATGTCTTAATCTTTGCCCTAAAACTTATTCATTTCTTTATTTTGGTCATTTTTACCCATTTTTTAATATTTTTCCGTTCTGGTCATTTTTGCCCTAAAACTTTTTATTTCTTCATTTTGATCTGTTTTAACCCTTTTTTCTAGTTTTTGCCCTAAAACTTTATTTTTTTTGTTTTAGGTCCCTCTTGTCTTAAAACTTATATATTTCTTCCTTTCAATCCTTCTTTTACCCTTTTTAAACTTCTTGCTCTAAAACTTTAAAACCTTTTCTTTTGGTTTCTTTATGAGATTTTATATTCATATATTATATATTTTTAATAATCACACAGTAATTAAAACTTAACACATAAATTTCACAAGTACAAATGATGTCATTTTGACCTATAACTTACAAAAATGCCAAAGATTCCACGGCCGCCCCATCCGCCACAAGTACAAAAGTTATGTGCATATATATTAATCATGAATCATCTTTATTGCCCAAATTTGATCAAAGAAACTATCTAAATGGGGCAAACATAAACAAATTCAGATTTTATTCATTTTATGACTCAAATCATATTACTATAATATTTTCTCTCATAAAAATTTTAATTTAAATTTTTTATTATAATATTTTTCTCTCTCACACAACTCAAGTCATGACTTAAATTGTACAAATAAACATACCCAGATATGTATCTTTAGCGTATCATAGTATCCACAAGCCAATATATATATATATATATATATACATATATTATGACTAGAAATTGCACAAGATCATGAGCCAATATATATATATATATACATATATTATGACTAGAAATTGCACAAGATCATAGAACTTTTATCCCTTTTACACAAAACGGAACTCCCTTGGGCAACTTTAGCGCACATATATATATTTTAACATGAATCAGAATTTTTTAAGCAAAAACAAATAATGTGTATCAACTTTGTGCCTGCAAATTATACAAACGGATTTACACTATTTGTATGACAAACTTTGAAAAAATGAAAAATGAATGGTAATTTTCAATTAACAATGATTCTTAGCAATTTTCTACCGGAGAATAAAGAGGTATAGTTCATGATTTAAACATAGCAGGAAGATAAATAGCTATCTCTCTCTAATTTTGTGTTGATCAAGATACAAGAGAGTTTACAGTTCAAATCAACAAATCTTTGTAAACCAGACCTAAATATATCACATATTTAGAAGAAACAAATTCAAAGTTGTTAACCTTTGAGATTTATAGGGACAAACTACATAAAGTACAGTACTATGAAAAAGAGTATCCAACTCCAGGGCCATGATATTTAGCATCTCCAAGTAACCACCTATCTTCAGATTTCTTTTGCAGCGATAGCGACTTAGAGCCCGTTTGGTTGGAAGATTCGTTCTCTGATTCGAATTATGATTCATAGTTCGCTACAGTATTTTCTCTCATAAAAAACACATGTAAATCGAAAATTGTTCTAATCTCATGGTTATAATCCATGAACCAAACAGGCTCTTAATCTTTCGCAACGACTCGAAAGAGATTGTTGTAATTTTCTGTCAACTTGTAAAGGTAAATTATCAATCATGTTAGTAGTGATGTTTTTCTCTGCAGCCTCTTGAAGTTGAAGAGCACACTCCAAATTATGCAGCACTTCACCCATTGAGGGCCTATTGACACCGAATTCCGCCAAGCATTTCTCGGCGGTTTCTCCAAGTTTCTTGAGAGAATCTGGACTAATTTCTCCTACAAGCGAAGGATCTATGATTTCCTCCATCTTCCCTGTCTTCTGCCATTTCAATGCCCACCCAGCTAAACCGATTTTCTCCGTTGGAAGGCACAGCTGCTCTTCCACAAAGTACCTTAAACAAAACCACTCCATTTGAGTAGACATCCGATTTTAGTGTCAATCGTCGCTTCCTAAAGTATTCGTGATCGAGGTATCCAAAGCTTCCTTTCACGTCTATGCTTACATGGCTAGCTTGAGTAATGTCCGGCCCTATCTTGGAAAGTCCAAAATCGGAAACTTTTGCTTTAAGATTCTTGTCTAGCAAAATGTTCGTAGACTTGACATCGTGGTGGATAATTGCTCTTGCAAAGCTAGTATGAAGATAATGCAGCCCTTTAGCTGCACCAATACAGATTTCAAGCCTTTGTTTCCAACTCAAGATCGGAAATCCTGAGTCATACAAATGACTCCTCAACGTTCCATTCTCGACATATTCGTAAACTAAGATCATCTCGTTCCCTTCGTCACAACAGCCAATCAACGAAACAAGGTGGCAGTGACAAAATCCCGACAAAATAGCCAGATGAGAACCCAGATTGCCGATAGAATTATTGATTTTCATGATCTCCAATCCATTAAGAAAAACATTACAAATATGATGATGTACAGAGGAAGCTCCTATACTTACATGAAGCTTATTGCTAACCACCAACATTGTAACATAGTCCATGTAGAATGCTGATCCAAGAGAGTTCGATGTAAAAGTCATGATGTCATGATTGTAAGAAACAACCCAAGAGTTTATATACAAATTGAAGTAGAGAGGCATGGGATTTTCACAAACTATGTCACAAAAGTGAAATCGGACAAGGTAACGAAATCCTTGATCCACTTTCAACTCCCATGTCATATTGGAATCACCTTTCCATTCGGAATTCACCTTTGTTGCGGTGCCATAGACTATTGTCGGAGCAATATTAGGGGTTACTCTACGTCTAGTGTTGTACTTAACTGCTTCAGTGTTGGAGACATTTATGAAAACGTCCTTGTGTAGTAGAAAATTTTGACCGGAAAGCCATGTTCGCCAACCGTCTCAAATGCCTGACTTGAAAATCCTTTAAATTTTTTGTCAAGTGGACCAACAATTGAGGACATATCGTCGGTGATAAGTTCATCAGGGACTGATGCAACTTCTATAGCGTTCAAGAACGCAAATGAATTCGATGTTGGTTTGAGTGTGATGAAAAGGCTAGTTGAGGTCACATTTACTGAATTCTTTTTAGGGAAGTGGTATTGTGAGTGTAGAATTCATTAAGGAGGACGTGGCCCTGTTTGTTTCCGTTTTCATTTCTATTTTTCACATTTTTCGAGACTAAAAAATGAAAACGGAAACATAAAATGCGTTTGGTGTAAAAAAATTTAGAAAATAAAAATAAAAACGTTTTTGTCTTTTCTGAAAAACTGAAAACGAAAAAAAGCTATTTTCATTTTTACGTTTTCGTTTTCTGAAAACGGATTTCATTTTTTTTTCCTTCTCTCTTCTCCAGTCGAAGAAGACGCAGGCCTAGGACATCCGGCGAAAGCCCACCATCTACGCTCCTCTCCGACTGGCCCGCCACCATTTTCTCTGATTATTTATTTAATATATTATTATTTAATATATTTAATAATAATATTTATTGTATTTATTTAATATATTATTATTTAATATTTTTATTTATTTAAATATTATTACATGTTTTTAAAAATTAAACCACCAAACGCAGTTTCAGTTTTTTTTAAAACTGAAATCAATCTCTGAATAAAACTACCAAACGCATTTCAGAAATAATTCCAAAATGAAAATGAAAACGTTTTCATTTCTATTTTCATACAGAAAACAAAATCATTTTGAAACCAATTCTAAACGCACCCATAGTTTTCGGTAAATACCGAAAATCTTGCGGCGGTCGTGACATAATTTTCGTAGACAAACGGGGAGAAATATAGGCGGATCCAATGTCTACCTTGATGAAGGATTGGAAATTTGTATGTTGACATTTGAGTGAAGATTCTTGCTGTTTGATACAACGGTGAAATATTGCGAGAGGAAATGATTGGTTTATTGGTGGTATTGGCAAGAACATCTTGAGGAGTTGGAAGAAACTTTGAAGCTGCAAAATCGGATACGAAAATACGGCCACTAGCAGAGGTATTGGTGGTTGATCCACAGTCTATGAGGTAATTGTCTATTGGATCAAATTCAGAAGAAAAGGATGTAATTGCCAAGTAGAAGATTGATAAGGCTCGGATGAAAAATACTACCCCTGTGTAAAACATTTTGATCGTAATTTTTTTTTTCTTTTTTTTTTTTTTCACTTGGTTAGAACTCCAACGTGGACTAATCTTGAGAATAGTCAAGGACAGAAATCGAGCAACTCTATCTAATGATATGAGCTCCAAGAGAGAGAGAGAGATCAGACGCTGTTGCAATAAGGACACTTTTGTTAGTAATTAAGTTTTTGTATAATTCTTGGGACTTTTTTTTTTCTGTCATGAAAATAAATCAGGTCTTCCAATTGTTTTACATATCAATAGTACTATAATGCGATAACATGCTCTCATTCATTTAATCAAAATGTAATTCTAAGCGAACAAAAATAAGCTCCTGCGACTTATTACCATACATAAAGAACATTAAACAATGAACTATCGAAAAGTCTCTTTCTTTTGCGGTCAAATCTTTATAAAGCTATTTGCTTTGTGTTTTTTTTTCCTATCTGATGTGATATTGATCAAATCTAACGATCAGAAGCTAGCCTTTAGAGAAAATCGTTAACTTTTATCTTTATTTTTTTCGGCATTTGGGGAATTAATTCGATTTTTTTTTCCCAGAAAATAACTTGATTTTTGTTGATACTATTACTATTGTACACAGGAACAGATACATGAAATGAAAATACTTTACGCAAGTATTGAGAAAATAACAAATCAGTTAAAAAAGTGCTAGCAAAATTCTTAATTAAGTCAATCAAATGAAAGCAATGGAAAAAGGAGCATAATAATCAGAGAAAATTAGCAGGAAAAACCTGATAGAAATATGGAGAATTAGGCTAACCAAGTTCAAGAAAACAGTTAAACTAAACAGCTCAGAGATAAGTGATTACAGAATTGCAAAGAAAAAACAAGTAAATAATTAACACAGTGAGCGAATTTAATAAAACTCTAACACAATACTATCATATCATTTACTAACCTTGATGCATGTGCTGATCACGTGCCATCCAACTAGATTTAGAAGGATCAATACGTATACCGTATGTCACTCCTTGGTAAAAAAAGCCTTATTTAAAGTAATCATGTCTCCTTGCATGTGTACCCCTTGAATCTTGAATCATATATATCCAAATTGTTATAATGTAAGAGTGAGTTATATATTTTTTTTTTTATATTGCGACAAATTTTGTTTTTGGATTATTTTTTTTCATATTGCTTCGAGTTTAGTACTTATTGTGATGTATCTCTAGAAGTTTAAAATGCGTCATTCTCACCTCCGAAAAAATCAAGAGAAAAAAAAATCGAAGTTTCCTCGTCCAAGTTCGTCAAAATTTTGGATGGAACTTGTTTTGCAAATCTCCCCGTCAAAATTTTATACACCATTCTTAGAAACAAGAATGAAGTTGAAGATTTTGGTGTGAAAAACGTCTTAAATTGGTGCCCAAATAACATAAAGTAATAAAGGGTACTTAGAATAGGAGATATCACCTCAATCACCTTCCAAAACTTACAGAAAAATGAACAAAAGAGGGTATTCCCAAAGTTTATGCATATAAGGGGTGAGAGTCCCATATTTTCAAGTTTAGGGGGCATTACTAACATAAAGCCGTATGTCAAAAAATTTTAACGAAATTGGATTGAGAGGGAAATTTCACACTTTCGTAAGTTTAGAGTGAGAATGGCATGCAAGGTTTCATGCGGTAACTTTTTTTTTTTTTGGAACAAATTTTATAAATTCCCTATTAACTTTGTCACTTATGTCAATATACTCTATGAATTTTAAAATGTGTGTGTTGTGCCTGCTAAACTTTGTCACTTGTGTCAATATGCCCCTGAAGTTTTTTAACGAAAATGCTTATAAATGTCCCCTGAACTTTGTCACTTATGTCAATATGCCCTCTGAATTTTAAAATGTACATGTTTTGCCCTCGAACTATGATATGTCTGTAACTTTTTCTCCTTCATCTTGATTCTATTAGTTTTTTAAATGAAAATATTAATATGACCATTAAATTATTACTTATCTATGATATTTGAGGTTTATTGAATACATTCTCTTTTAAAAATCTTAGTTAAAATACCAATTCTCAAAACATTAGTTGATTAAAGGCAATAAAGAAGGAAAAAATGAGGAACAATAATGAATTTTGTTTTTTTTTTCCTTTATTAATTCACCTAGATAGAAGTGCTCGACATAAAACATGTTTATGCTTTATACATATATATAATTTTTAAATTTGAATGCGTTCGGGTCATTTATTATATTTTAAAATTTTTTAAATAAAAAATAATACAAACCTTGAAAAACCCATTAACTTAACAAACTTTAATTGTCAAATATCATAGATAATTAGTAATTTAATAGCCATATCAACATTTTTCTTTAAAAAATTGATAGAATCAAGATTGAGAGAGAAAAGTTGGAGACATATCATAGTTCGGAAGGCAAAACATGTACATTTTAAAGTGCAGATGGGCATATTAACACAATTGACAAAGTTCAGGGGGTGTTTATAAGTCATTTCATTATAAAAATTAACAAAGTTAACCTCATGGGATATGTTGATACAAGTGACAAAGTTTAAGGGGCACAACATGCACATTTTAAAGTTCATGAAGCATGTTGACACAAGTGACAAAAGTCAGAAAAAAGTTATAAAATTAATCTTTTTTTTTTGGCATGCTTCTATAAAAATGCTCCTATTCTTTTTTTGTTATATGCAAGCCACATAAAAGTTAATTGCCATCTAAAAACTTACAAAAAGCCTAGATTGTCTACAATTTCAAAGTCTGGGAGGAAAGGATGAGCACAATTTCAAAGCCTAGAATCAGCAAACTAAACAGGCCCTTAATTTTGACATTTGAGGGGCTCAATATTGTTGGAAGATTCCAGTGAAAAAAAAATTGTAGTTTGGTTAATAAAATACGGTCAGGTTTTTATTTTTTTAGTGTAATTCTTATAGGGTTAGAGTTATCTTTCTAGTGTAATTTGTATAATGTAATTGTATCTGATTTCTATTACGCCACGGAAGATATTATTGTATGTAACGTCTCAATTGTCGGGCTTAAACTTTTATATTAATTTTGTATGAATGAATTGTAAGAGAAACAATAAAGGAGCTCAGTGATTAAATTGTAAAGCTTTAAAAGGTAAGATTGTAAAAATTTTCATATTTAAAAACTAGATTACAATATTAGAGAAAAAAAGCAAAATTCTCTCCCTTAGCCACATTGAGAGCTAGGAGCATTATAGAAAAACTCCATCATTTTTCCCAAGCCTTCTTCAAATGCTTTGAAAGTTTCAAAACCAGAGATAACTCAGCCCTATTAGCCTCTTAAATCACAAAAGAAAGGAGGAACAAGCTTCTCTCAAAACCCCATTCTCGGATTCCTTCAAAGGCCCAACTTTTAATATACAAATTTGAGCTCAAAGTGAAGTAATCTTTTAACCTACCTAAGGAGTATTAGGAAAAGCACAATCAAGCTTTCTCAATGGTGGACATTACTCTTCTGCAACAATCCGATTTTAGAAAAAGGGCTGCAGCAATTCTTGGAGGAAAAGGGGTGATTTGAGCTAGAGTTCAAGGTAAAGGTTTATTTGGGGAAAAAATCTGTCAATGGCTGAGTGTTTGGTTGGGAGTAATTGATTGAATTATGTTTTTATTTTAGCACGAGGTACCATATACTAACAAATTGTTGATTGAGGATGTATGTATAGGATTTGTTGGTTATGAAGTTAAAAACATAAACTTAGGTGTTCATGATATCTAGGGGCTGCCTGCAGAAAAACTGAGAACTGAATTTTCTTAATGCCTTTTTAAAGTTAGCTGTGTTAGAACCATAAAATAGACATTATAAGTTTCGTATAGCCAGAAGAATCACCTCAAGTTATGCAATTTTTAAAGTTAGGCATGATTTCTGTAAATTCTGCAGAAAAAATCAGCACGTTTTGATTTAGTGTGACATGTTTTTAGTGGCCTTAACTAACCTGAAACTAAGCTTATGATAGCTCTTTGAAAAGTCCTAGATGTCTACTTCGATTAGGCACTGATTTTGTAATTTTTGAGGCTATAAAGAATATTTTGTGAATATTCCCATAACGGTCGCTCAAACAACGTTTTCTAAGAAAACTTAAGAACAAGAACCGAGATGTCCATTTCATGGTTTATGGTTGCTGCACCTAAACCATCATCACTACCATTTATAACATGTTAATAGTGACATGTGAGATTTAGAATCACGTCATTTGGAGTTTTGTAGCCCGAGTTGTGCGCATTAATAGTTTCATGTAGAAACTTCTCAAAAGCTGTCAAAAATAGAAAAATCAGAATTTTAATTTTTTGAGAACTATTTTTGAGGCACTTAGAGAGCTCTGATTTAGGCTTATGGTAGCTCTTTGGAAAGATATATATGTCTACTTTCTTTTTGAGTTGATTTTGGAATTTTTGGAGACATAGAAAATATTTTATAAATTTTCTTGTCAAGATCAATGAATATGCCAAATTACAGTTTTCAGGGGAATATGATTATGAGTTAGAAATTGATTTATGGCTGAGCTATTGACCTTTAATAATGAAGGCCAATTTGTTTATTTTGGACAGTAGAAAGGAAAGCGAATAAGGGACGCGAAGAGAGTTAAACTCAGATTTTGTTAAGCAACTTAGGTAAGTAGAGTATGACTTCTCTGCAGCACTTGTAAACTTTGTTTGATAGACTTTCTATGGAATGTCTAGTATGCTATTATGTGAATTTTTACGACATTGTCAATGTGTATGTTTTGTGAAGGCATGCTTGTGCTAATATATTGTACACAAAGTAGAGCAGCACGCTGATTGTTAAATTGCTTGTGATTGAGCACATAATAGCATGCATGATAGGCCGGTACTGCCAAATCCTCCAAGGACTCCTATTATGATATGGTGATTGATGAAATTGTGATTGAGCCGCGCAAGTCTCTCGAGCCAAGTGGGTGATGACAGAGACTATATTGTGATATTGTGAAATTGTGATTTTGAATGCGCTGGCAGTTCTCTCGAGCTAGGTGGGTGATGACGGGAAACCTGATATTGTGATTTGAGAAATTAGCATGTGGTCAGATTGTGAAAAACCGGCGGCAGTACCGGGATGGCCCTAGAGATATATAGTGCACGTGCATAAAGTGTAAGAATTGATTGGCATAAATTACCTAGGATGTTGTGATGCATGTGTATGTTAAAATGAGATTGTGTAATTGTAGCTCTACTTACTGAGCCTGTAGCTCATTAAATTTGCTATGTGCTATAGGTAAAAATAAGAACAAAGCAGAACAGTAAGCAGGGGAGTTGGTTTTGTTGAGCGCTGTACATATGGTCAGACCGATGAAGCTACACGCATATTATATTGGGTTTGTAAATACATATGTTTTGGAGTTAAGCTCATAAACCTTGGATGACTGTATAATTATAATTATGGCTAGAAAACTTAATAGGAATGGTGTATTAACAAAATCTTGTTTAAGCAAAAATTTTGAAACACCATAGTTTCCGCATAAGTTAAAAGTGAAAGTTAGTTATTGTGGCACATTCTTAAGATTAATAGTAAGTAAGGCTTGAAAAGAGATGATATAAAAGGTGTCACATTGTATACCACCAAATTTTGTCCCGAACTGTTGTTGCCCATCGCATTTCTCAAAATAGTCACGTATCAGAGTTTTTTTAAAAAAAGTTAATACCCAATTACCCAAAAAAAAAAAAAATACCCAAAAAATCTCTTCAGAACATCATGTTTGTCCCTTTTGTTACACAAAACATATCTAAAGTACTAGATTTTGAGCCTATAACAAATCATGCGTATTAATATAACCCCGAATTACTACATAGTAGACAATTTACATGACAAATTTTGACGGGTTGAAAAATAATTAAAAAGAGGAACCGAGGAAATTTAATAACCACGGAGCAAGGTCGTCCATTTCTTCTCTGATTGTATGATAGAGTTTTAATTTTACCAACAAATATTTGTTAACTAAATCCATCTAGATACATTTCCAATTTTGATTAAGCAAATTCAAAGTTGTTTTATTATTATTTAAAAATAAATAAAAATCAAAGTTGTTATCCTTTGAAGTTGATGGGAGAAAACACATAAATTGTTGTATCAACAAGAGAATCCATGGCCATAAGATTTATGATCATCTCTAAGTAGCCACTTATCTTCAACCTTCATTGTCAATGAGGACTTAATCACTCTGTAACCGCTTGAATGATCATCACCAACACGAGTACATGAAAACTCAAATGCAGAAACAGAATGTTGTAATTTTCTGTCATCACTCATGTGGGCACTAATGCGTTTCTCCGCAGCCTCTTGAAGTCGTAGAGCACACTCCAAACTCTGCAATACTTCTCCCATTGAGGGCCTATTGACACCGACTTCCGCCAAGCATTTCTCGGCGATTTCTCCAAATTTCTTGAGAGATTCTGGACTGATTTGGGTCGAATCCACAGCTGCTCTTCCGCATAGTACCTCAAACAAAACCACCCCAAATGAGTACACATCCGACTTAAACGTCAGCCGTCGCCTCCTAAAGTATTCAGGATCAAAGTATCCAAAACTCCCTTTCACGGCCGTGCTCACATGATTTGCCTGAGTCATGTCCGGCCCTATCTTGGAGAGCCCGAAATCCGCAACTTTTGCTCTGAAGTTCTCGTCCAGTAAAATATTTGCAGACTTCACATCACGGTGGATAATTCCTTTGGCAAAGCCAGTGTGAAGGTAATGCAATCCTCTAGCTGCACCAATACATATTTCAAGCCTTTGCTTCCAAGTTAGGTATGTTTGGAGTTCTGAGCCATGCAAATGACTTCTTAGTGCTCCATTCTCCATGTATTCATATATTAAGATCATCTCATTCCCTTCATCGCAATAACCAATTAATGAAACAAGATGGCGGTGACGAAATAGCAATAACATCTTGATTTCGGTGCGGAATTCTTGTAGCCCTTGTTGAGACCCCGGATTTTTTCTCTTAACTGCAACTTTTGTCCCATCACTCAAAACTCCCTTGTATACCTTCCCGAAGCCACCGGTCCCAATAACCAAGCTCTCGTCGAAATTGTTCGTAGCCTCTTGAACGATAGGAAAGGGAATGCGAGTCTCATACTTCGAAGCATCGATTGCAGTGGCGGTTGTCTTAGAATGGCCCTGGTGTGCTTGTGATTTTTTCAGTTTTTTGCAGATAATCAATAAGAAAACTACAGACATTGTCACTACAAGGAATCCCCCAATACTCACGCATATTGATAACACTGCAATATTCTTTTCCTTAATTGAAGACATAGCTGGAGAACCCAAGTTTCCTATAGAATTGTTGATCTTCAAGATCTCCAGCCCATTTAGAATACCATTGGAGATATCACCATTTATAATAGAAGACCCAATAGTTACACGAAGCTTATTGCTAACCGTTGACATTGTAACACAATCCATGTAGAATGGTGATCCAAGCGAGTAAGAGGACAAAGCACTGGTGTCAAGATTGGTAGCAACACTCCAGGAATTTATATACACATTGAGGTAGAGAGTGTTGAGATAATCACTTATTATATCACAAAAGTGAAATCTGATGAGGTAATGAAATCCTTGATCCACTTTGAACTCCCAAGTTATATTGAAAATTCTTTGGAAAGTCTCAGAAAGGAGATCCAGTATTGTGGCAGTACCATAAACTATAGCTGGAGCAATATTAGGGGTTGCCTTTCCTCCAGTAATATACTTAACAGCGTCAATGTTTGACACATTTATGACAATGTCTTTGTGTACCAGAAAACTTTGGTCGGGAACCCATGTTCGCCAAAGGGTGTCATTCTCGGAAAACACCATTGGACCACCCATGTTTACCCTCGCAACCGTCTCAAATGCCTGACTGGACAATCCTTCGAAGTATTGATCAAGTGAGACAACAATGGATACCGAATCATTGGTAATGAGCTCATCAGGGACCGACACAACTTCTACGGCGTTCAAGAATGCAAATGAATTCGCTGAAGGTGAGAGCGTAATGACAAGACTATTTGATGTCACATTCACAGAGAATTCTTTAAGATAAGTGGTATCATACGTGCAGAAGTCACTGAGGAGGACATGGTTTTCGGTGAAAACCGAAAATCTTGCAGTGGTCATGTCATATGCTTCATAAGAAAATGGTGAGAAGTATAGCCGAATCCAGTGTCTACCTTGACGGAGGATTGGAAATTTGTAGGTTGATGTTTGGGTGAAGATTCTTGCTGTTTGATATAAGGGTGAATCACTAGAGGAAATGGTTGATTTATTGGTGGTATTGGCAAGAACATCTTGAGGAGTTGAAAGAAACTTTGAAGCTGTATAATCAGATATAAAAACACGATCACTGACTGAGGTATTGGTGGGTGATCCACAGTCTATAAGATAATTATCTATGGGATCAAATCCTGAAGAAGAGCTAAATCCCTGATGGAAAATTGATATGAAAAGTACCACTTTCATGTAACTCATAATTCTGGTCAAGAATTTGTTCAACTTGCATTAATTATGAAAATAATTCCGAGGGTAGGAGCCAATCAACAAGGAAGAGATGACGAAACGTGCTCTACCTGCTTTTGTGAGCTTCAAGAGAGAGAACAGTCCCTGTTGCATTAAGAACCCTTTTGTTAGTAATTAATGTGTTTTGCATAAATCTTGAGGTTTTTTTTCTTTTTCTTTTTCTTTTTTTCATGGAAACAAATCAAGTATTTCAACTGTTTCATTTATGATTCAGCAAAAAAAAAAAAAAAAAGAATGTTTCATATATGAATGGCACTATAATGGGATAATACAAAGAACTCTCATGTATTTGACATATGTTTAAGCGAATGTGTTTAAAAAAATACTGAAATTATCATGTGTTTCTAAGCTTACAAAATTCACCTATGGTATTAAGATTTAGTACAAGTTTGTTTTGCGACAAGACACTTTTTATACCTTGTATTTTAGTGTTATTTAAAAGAGTATAACCCTGTATTTTTTATTACAGTAAAAGTATAACATAAAATTACATTATTAGGCAAAGTGCACGTTTTCTTAGTCAACACTTAATTTTTACCACAAAAATGACTAAATATCCTTGAAAATTAAAAAGAAATAACAAATCTCAAAATCTCATAAGAAATTAAAAAAATAAAAAAATGAAAGTTCAGAGACCAAATTGTCACTATACTTAAAATTCAAAGACAACAAACCCCTCTCAACTAACCCTACCCCACGGCTCACCTCCACCTCTCAGTACCGCTCGCCCCAAACCCTTGCCACTCCACCTAGAGTCCTAAACCATAAATGGCGTTGTCGCAAAAATATTGGGAAATCTAAGAGTCACAAAATTTCCTTCATTTGTGGCATTGTCATATCTATCTATTGCTATAAAGAAAACACATGAAAAATATTGTGCACAAATATTCAGTTTTATTGCCATGAGAAAAACGACACCATTCCATATATTGAGCATTTACCAAATATATATATCTGAGCTGATATCATGAAGTACTTGGTGACAAATTTAAACATACATTGAGCGGTAATTCTTACATTAAACAAAACAAGCCAACTCATCGGGTACTGTATTATATACATACAGATCTACCTTTTAAAAAAAATAAATAAATAAACAGTATTTATAAGAAAAAAACCCGTAAGTTAAAAAAAAAAAATGTAGCAAAATTCTTAAACAAGTCGAGCAAATCAAAGCAATAGAAAAAGATGGTATTATTCAAAGGAAATTGGGAGGAACCTGATCGAAATATGAGGAAGCCAATTACCTAGTTCATGAGTCATGTTGATGAAACAGAGTGGACAAGTAGCAGTAACTGCAGAAGACAAAAAAGAAGAAGAAAAACTGCCAAACTAAAACAGCTCATAGACTAGAGAACTGCAGGCAAAAACGATCGAGTAAAACGTTTTGTAACAAAGCTAGCAATAATGGCGTTTGAGGCCATCCTTTAAGTCAATAGGGGGCCCCAGTGACAATATCTATAGGACTATATCGATCTACCTATCTACTACATGCCCCAGTGACCAATGATTTTTCTCCATGCAAAAAAACAGAAACATTAAGAAAAAGAAGAATAATTGTTTGTACTGAAGAATACGATATTGAAAATTCTAAACGTGTGTTTATAGTCAGATAAAAATATGCTATCTACTACATGCCCCAGTGACCAATGATTTTTCTCCATCCAAAAAAACGGAAACATTCAGAAAAGAAGAATAATTGTTTGTAGTGAAGAATACGGTATGGAAAGTTCTAAACGTGTGTTTATAGTCAGATAAAAATATGCCAGTCGAACTGATGATTAAATTAGTTTGATAAAGATATATTATCATATCTCAAAACTTATTTATCTATATGGACAAATGGGTTTCCTAACCTTATTTGGCTGTTTCATTAAACAAAAACTAAACAAATAACAAAAAAATAACAAAAAAATAAAAACAAAAACAAAAACAAAAAATTGGGAGCATTATTGATATTGAGCACCACAACTAATAAAAGATTGACAAATATAGTGTGTCCGTATCGTTTATCTCCTATAGTGGGTGATGAATCCAGTACCCTAACATTGCTATTTCATCCGAGCCACTGTTTCAACCCCACTACATCTTAGCACAAGCCGCTGTGCCACCATACCTAGCCCATCGCAAGCATTGTGGTCCCCTCCTCTTAAGACCCTCAATGCATTGCCCTAGGGTCCCCTGCGTGAGCCCACCAACGACCCGACTCCTCGCCTAGCGAGCAAACCCCGTCGCAACTTCCCCCCACTCGGTGACCATGCTTTGTGACAATTCCCATCTGCACTATAACCATGACCCGTGATAACTTCCCCCTCGGTATTTGATTGGAGTGGATGCAAGGATAAAAAAAGTCGATAATTAAATTTTATGAAAATTCCAATATCGACGGAAATTGACATAAAATATATATACAATGTAAGTAGATTCATCCTTTTTGCAAAAAAAAAAAAAAAAAGATTTATCTTTAAAATTGGAATTTTAAAATAAAATTCTCAGAAACTGTAAAATAGTGAATAATACGTAAATTAAGTGAAATGATCAATTAACATGATAAATAAATATGTTGTAAGACACAAGAAGTGATTAGAAACCAATATCAGGACAACAATCAATATCGCCCATATCAATCCCAAACTCTAAAATTGAATAGTTTTTTCTTCTTATTTTATGTGCGTGTGTGTTTTGTGTGAACTTATTTTACACCACTTGAATAAGCAAAAAACGACTACAAGACACCATTTAATTTTCTCGTCTCTTTTCCCTCGCCTTCTCTGTCTTCACACTCACAGCACCTATCTCACCGGATGTTGTGGGGTTGTTACCTCATGTCATGGACTCACAACCCGGCTGTTGTTAACTCATAAGTCGCAATCTTGCCACAGCATGGAATGGTGCAAACCAACAAAACCACTTATTTTAAGTGAAATACAAACCAAACCAATTACAAATTGGTTTAGAAATTTTCAAATCAAACCAAACCAATAAAGGGATCTACTCCAATCCAAACCAAACGGATTGTAATTGGTTTGGTTTGGTTTTTCTAATTGATTTGAATTAATATTTTACAATCTCTTCTCAAGTCTTAACCATAAGTTGTACTAATATTTTGTGTTACTTTGTCTCTATGAAGTCAAAACAATTCAATTATAGATATATTTATATAATATATAGTAGTTGTGACTGATGATTAAATATGATATCCACACTTTTTAAATATATGAACGAAAGCGAATATAGGCAAGTTAAAGACACTTATTATTATAGAGGTTATATTCTCGTTAATAAAGAGGCAAGACTTACAGAATCACAATTAGAGACCAGACGAGTACAGAATGAGAGGAGAGGAGAGGAGCAGAGAGTGCTTGAGAATAGACCGCAGAGAGAGTGTTAGTACCTTATATATAAGTTATGGTAGAAACTTTTTGAGTTATGATCATTTAATTTTAAAATAAACAAGTTTTTAAAATATAAATAAGTTGGAAGTATATGAAACATATAATTTTAGGAAAATTATATAGATAAAAATTGATTTAATTTGGTTTGATTTTTTAAAAAGTAAAACCACAGATCAAACCAATTTAATTGATCTTTTAAAAATTTAAATCAAACCAAAGCAAACCAATTATTAATTAGTTTGGTTTGATTTTCTTTGATTTGGTTGATTTAAATGGTTTGAATGGTCTTTTTTCCAGGAAAACATTTTCCTTCAAATGAGTTTCATCTTTTTGTACTAGAATGAGGAATCTTTTTGTGCCATTTAAAGCTTCATTGATCCGTACGTTTTTTCCCCTAAGAATTACTAAGCTTGTACTAGAAACTATTTATAAACATATACATATATATATATATATATTCAAACAGGATATTTTTCCAATTACCTCGACAGCAATTAATAGATGCACATGGAAAATGTGTGCGGTGCAACACTAAGTGAACAAGTAATGGACTAAGTCAAAGGTAGATCCCACAAGTATTCTAAATTACAATCAAGAATTTCTTATAAGCAAGCAGCAAATATCACGGCGGGTTTCACTAGTCACTGCTAATTTCGAAAACCGATAAAAATCTTTAAGCATAAAGAAGGTTATATTGTTTGTCCCCTCAACATCATTCAAGGCTTTGAGCATCCTTGCCAAAAGAAAACAATATCTACAAGCTCCTGTAGTCTATCACAGTGACTTCGTCCTCTGGTGCATCTAGGTCTTGATAGCTGCATGAATCAAATACAGATTAGCTGTAATGATCAAGAAAATTTTAAATTTTAAATAATACAATTTATGTATTTAAGTCAATGATTTTTCCTAAAAAATATTATGCTATATTTTGTGACTGAAGAATTTATGAAATTAATATCAATATTCTTAAATTCTGTAGCAGATTCCATGCTAAGTTCATGCGTTACGATTAAATAAATTCGATCGATAAATTCTCGCCGTAATTTAAGGCGGAAGAATTTCCAGTACATATATAGTTTGGGAACCTTAATTCCAAGAATCTCAAAGCACAATACGAAGTTAGCAGCGTACAAAAAAAATTCTTAATTGCCGAACAGTTAGGTTGAAGTCACGAGAAAAATACTTATAGTAGAAGGGTACAATGTGACGTCAGGAGTTGACACTGTCGGTACATGTCATTCCCGGAATATAATGCAGAAAAGTTAAATTTAGAATTTTTCCAGTCTAGAATTAATTTCAAGACTTGAAACAGTTCGAAATATTACTTGAGTAAGAATTTAATATCGAAGTACTGGGAGATTAATATTGAACTATAAATAAACAGTAGAAAATGAACCGTCAGAAACTAGAATTTTCTGTCGGCTAAGTACTTTCTTACAGTCAGTATAATTTTTAACAGTTTTAAAGGAAACTTAATGTGACGCCCCTCCTATGAGGCCGCCACTGTTACTAACTTTTTAACTTGTACTTACTGGGGTTTCTTAAAATTTGCAGAACATTTTTTTTTAATATAAGAAAGAATACTTTCATAATTTGTAACAATAATTTCAAATAAGTGAATCACTAAATTTCTTAAAGCTTTTCTTAATTTCAGTTAAGATAAAACGTTCTAAAAATATCTTTCAAACAGAGCAGCATTTGAACTCTTATTTCAAATACTCTTTAAAAGCCTTTCTAAAACTAGCCAATTCAATCGGGCCATTTAATTTTGACTTTAAAACGAATTTCATGAGAAATCTTAAATTCAAGTACATCTTAAAGCCCTTTTAAAATCAATCATTTAAATCGTCATGTTTAAAATTTATTTATTTGTTGCATGTTCTGTTGCAACGTTCTAAAACTTAAATACTCAAAACGAGTGTTGTTAGCTACAACCTCAGTTTCCTTAACATACATATGTACCTATACTTTTTAAACATACATGCTTGAAACCTTTAAATCATACATACATATACATGATTTTTCTTAAACTTACTGCGGAAGATAACTGCGGGAGCGTTATCCATTCCCATCTCCACCATTCGTCCGCCGCTTGCCATTGCCCTTCAAGAATTGCTGATAGGTTTCTTACCTACAGCATGAACATATCTGATTGAGCTTTCGCTCAGCAAGTAGGAACTATATCTCACAAAATAACTGTAAGTACACATGAATAAATATGCATGAGCTGATTATGCTTAATTATGATGTCTTATCATAATCTTATTATCTTATCTTATCTTTCTTACTGATGGGCCCGAGTGCTCGCGTACCACTTGCGCGCAATCATCGGAACGTGAGGGTTTGCAAGGTCCCCCACGACACCGTGATTATAACTTGAATGCCTCCCTTGAGTCGGAGGACATTATTGTTATTTTCTGTTTCTCCCTTGTGGAGCATGAGTTACCTCCCTTGTGGAGGCTGGTACGGCACTCAACTGATAATTATTCTTATAAGTTCCTCTTGACTTATTAAGGTGTATGCAATATAACATAGCAAAGCATACTATAACATGGAATGTACTCAAACACATATACTTCACGTGCACTGCTTAAGTGTATGCAGTATGATCTAGCATAATATACATAATATTAAATTAACTCAAACACATATAATTCATGTGCGCTGTTTATGTGTATGCAGCATGACATAGCATCGCATACAATACTTAAAGCATAAACATGCATATATAACATGTGTAACTTTCTCTTTAAAATCTATTCATACTGTAGGCGAGATTCCTACTTAC